AGGATATTAGAGCTTGGGCGGTGCTTGGTAATTGGTTCCTTCATTAGGGTGGGGCATCATTGCACCTGGGAGCCAAAGCTGAGGTGAACAGCCAGGAATACCCTGCAGATTGACCTCACAGTGATGGGCCATGTGAGTCAAGTGCCATGGATAAATCAGGAAAGCCTCGCTTTAGATGGGACCTGAGGAACTGATGGCCAGGAAGGGGACCAGGAACAGAACTGAAGCCTGAGAGGCCTGCACACTTGCCAGGAACCATCCCCACCCAGCCATGTAGAGTACACACACAGGTACATCGTCCACACCCAGTCCCTGTAGGTCCTAGAGCTCTCTGACCCTGGGGTCCTTCAGTTAAGCTTGTGACAACTCCCTGGGGGCCACCCAATCTTGCATCCTGCCCAGATTCACAGCCAGAATACCAGGATCTTTGCCCATGTTCCTGCTGGCTTTATTAATCCTGGGTTTTGAGGGGCTGGCTTCTGCTCACCCACATCCCACTTGAAGGGAATTCTCTTGGTCTGTACGCTGTTAGCCCCCAGCAGGTCACAGGCATGGTGCAACTGTCCATGGAGGGCTGTCTCTGTCTCCTCATCAAGCCTTTTAAGACAAAGATAAGGGAGCTGAGGCTCAGACTGAACAGCTTCGCCAAGGTCCCCCAGCTAGGAAGAGGCAGGGCTAGAAATTGTGTGGTGGGTTGTCTGCTGAAGTTACCACAGTGTACCCTGGTCTGGCAGGAGCATTTGGGAGAGTCTGAACATCAGATGATGAAGTTCACATCCAGGCATTCTTGTTGCAGACTTGCTGTGTGGCTTAGGGCAAGTGACTTCACTCTCTGTGCCTGAGTTTCCTCATCTGTGAACTGGGGATGATAATGCTGCCTACTCCTCAGGTTGCTGTGAGGATTAAATGAGACAGTACTAGACATAGAAGCTCCCAGCAGTTTCTGGCATGTAGGCTACTGCGTATGTGTTGGTTATTACTGTCATCATCATTATCTGTAAGCCTGGACCACATTGCATCTCAATGCATTTTTACAACAATGGGGATGTTTGGGATCATCTTTTTTTTTTCCAAGTTGGCAAACTAGGTCACAGTGTTTCTTGATACCTCTTATCTGTACAACACTGGGTCATATAAGTTGTTTCCTTAAAAGGTGGTCATGGACAGGGGTCCACTTATAAGAAAGCCAACTCTTTGGGTTTTGATTTCTTCCCTGCTGGAGGCCTCAGCCCTTGACCTTCCTTCACTTCAACTGTGATTCTCTCTGATGGGTTCCCAGTGGCGGTTGGGTCTCCTGGCTTCCTCCTCTTCCTTACCATCAATGAAATAGAGAGTGTGAGCACTTTTGGTACTAAGTAAAGTCAATGTCAAGGGCTTTGGGATGATGGGGAGTAAAGGAGGGGGAACAGGGATCACCTGAAAGGAGTTGCTGAGTTCAAGGAAGCATCTCAGGTATGTGGACAGCTGGATAGACAGTCAGATGAACAGATGTAAGGTGTCTAAGAGATCTCACTTGGTTGGTTGATTGCTTTCTTTTCTCTGTGAAAACAGCTTTGCAAGAATCTGTGCCCTGTGAGCCCTTTGAGGAGAGGAGCCTGCTCCTGAATTTCTTTGTAGCCCCTTCCTCCTGGGGCATCTACTGACATTGATCCAGGCCATCTTTTATAGACAGAGGCTTGTTTAATGCTCTCGGACTACTTACTGAAAGGAATTTGTGGTTCCTGGGACCTAGATCTGAGTCTTCTTTGCTAGAGGAAGTACACACCGTGTGTATGCATGTGTGCACATGCACACATACTGCTATAGATTCTGAGGTATTTTGTCATTTCCGTGGTGTGCCATCTCTCCTCACTACCTGCATGTCTTTCAGTCTGGGATCTGTTCTTTTATTCTCACACACTCCCAGAGTACTCTTACTTACCTGGGTTTTGCAGTAGGAAACATGGCCAATTCTTCATGTTCCATTATGTAGAGACAGGGCTGGAAGGCAAGCTGAGCTGAATTCTGCCTTTCCCAGGCCTGCCTGCCCAGACTACCTGGCACTGGCTACCCCTGGGGCCACCCAAAGAGCACCATGTGCAGCCCTGGGGCCCTGGACACTGAGAACCTTCCACCCCCTCAGCTCTGTAGGAACTTGGGAATGAGGGAAGGGGCTTCTGTCATGTAAGCCCCAGTCCGCAGGGTGTGGGATACCAGATATGTGTGTTTGCATATACTGTCCTGAGGGTCATCGGCCACAGTGACAGTTGTTTCAGCACCAACTCCTAGGTGCAGGAGCCCTATCTATTTGTTCTCTTCCTCTGTGTAGTCTCTGGTATTTCTGTGGCCTGGGAGCCTGTCTCTTTCTTTGTACCATCCTCCCTCCCCACACTCACCTGCTGCTCTTTTGATCATTGGGCATTCGATTGGAAGTAACTTTGTACCTGTCAATGCCCACTCCTTACAGAAAGTGCTTAAAACTTTAGTTGTCCATCTCCCCAGCGTATTCCATGCATCTTCTATGCACCAGACAATAAACCAGTTAAAGTTTGTTTTTTTAAGGCAGAACTACCATCCTGGAGTTTAAGGACCAACAAAACAATGCTGATTTTCATAATAATGACTATATTTGTATTTTCTGCCTGTGGCAAGACCCTGAGGATGTCAGGCACAGGAGAGGTGAATCATAAGCTGGCCAAGGTTAGAGACCTGGGTGCTGTTGGGGAAGAGAGCCCTGGGAGAGTTCTGCAGGAAGGGCCTAGGTTGAGTGAAAACTCTGGAAGCCTGGCCAATGGTGTTGGAGAATACACAAAAGAGAACAGAGGAGGTGGGAGGCAGGGTGGAGTGGCCAACCAGGATGACCATGTCTTTCCATTAGTTGTGGCATAGCATTTTCACAGGGCTTCCAAAGTCCGGTCTCACGTGATCCTTACAAGAACCCTAGCTGGGCACCCAGAGCTATGGGAATGGTGAGGGGTTTTTTTTTATAGGTTTAGAGTGAAAAAACATGAGTGGTGTGCCCAGGGTAACAGGTCCAATGGGTGGCAGAGCACTTCTCACTTCTGAAATTCCCCCGCAATTGACTGAATGGCCACCTTGACTCTTGAACAGGCCAAATCAGCCCCTCTGCTCCCTGTTCCCTTGGGGCGCCCATGTTTCCATTTCATCAGGGGGAACTACCTGCTCTGGCCAAGAGCCTTGACTCACGACAGGCTTGATGGCAGCATGACCCCAATGCTTGTGGTTGGAGGAGTCAGTGCAGGTACAGTGCAGTCTGGCTGTTTGCTTCTTCATTTCAAGGGCCAGAAACTGTTAACAACAAAGGACCAAAGAAACCATCGCTGGGAGTGAATGCTCAGAGTAGGTGGGTGTGGAAGGTGTGTGTGCTCACGTGTATGGGCTGATGAGTAATGGGCTGAGAAGGGGCAGCTGCCAGCCTGCCAGGCTCCGGATGACTGCCAGCGCCCTGTTGAGGGGGCTCTGAGGGATCTTCCGGAGTGCCCTCCTCTCTCGGATCACCACGCAGTAAATGAGATCATTCCCGCTGACTGCCCAGGAGCCCGTCAATAACCATTCTAATCTCCCTGGTTGCCCCAGAAGTGAATTTACGGCAATGTGGTAAAAATGAGGCTGCATGATCAATGGATCCCTGGACGGTCTCTTCCTGGAGACACAAATGTATACTGTAACAAAACTTTATTTTCTTCAGAAAATTGCCTACATGATTAATATGGCCTGACACAGGCCAAGCTGTTAAGCATAAAAAACAGCCGTATTTCTTGCTCCTTCTCCAGTGCTGCCTCGCTCACTCTGTTCCTTCCTCTTGTTGCCTTTGTTTTGCTCTCTCACACATTGCATTCTACATTGTGCAGAATTTTGCAAGGGAAAAGAGTGCATGGAAATGCACTGGCTCTGGATTCCAGTCCACTTTGTTCCCACTTGGTATTGCCATTGTGGCTCAGGCTAAGCATAAAGCCAAATTCCCGGTGTTTCCTGGACAAAGTGTGTGCTCCTGTGACTGAGCCATGCAGAGCACATTCTGTGGGTGTTCTACCATCTCTGACATTACCAGCTCTCTGTCCCTCAGTCCAGCCTGGTGAAAAGGAGTCTCCCCTTTCACCCCTGTGATTGGGGATGGGGGCATTACTGGGTCTTAGGAGGGAGGACCTCTTAGGCAGGTGGCGGCATCTCCTGTCCCCAAGGAGGATCTAGGAACACTGGCAGGAAGAGTTGGGGTGTGTCAGGCAGCACCCTCCTACACAGGCAGAAGACCCACTTCCTTGATTATGATTATTTGCATGTGTGTTTTATGTCTCCTAGAATGTAAGCTTCATGAGAGCAGTGGTCTCTGGTAGATGTCTTAGTACGTGTTCTCCCAGAAAAAGGCCCTGAAACAAAGACTGGAGTGCATTAGTTTATTTGGAAGATAGAGAGGGGAGTGGGAAGGAAGATTGAGAAGGGAAAGCATCTCCTAAAGGCAATGTCATGCAGATTGTTATTGTGGGTGACAGGAGCTTTATCCCTGGGTGACCCTGGGAGCCCACCCCTCAGAGTCCACCTGCGCAAGGGCTGGGGGAGCTGGGGTGTTTATGCATCAACCCCTAGCAGTCTCTGGATGAGAGCCAATGGAGGAGGTGAACTGCTTATGTGGCATCAAAACAAAGGAGCTCCAGGCAAGGAAATACAGAGGTCTTGAGTCTACAGTTGGGCAGGTGGGTACTGACTGGACCAGGGGGTACCTGTGGGCACAGCAGCCTGTGACACAGAAGGTGTGTGCCCAAGACTGATGTTTCCCATTTTGTATGGGTAGTAAATTTGGGAGAAGTGGAGCTGGATTGCTTTACACTCTCCTCTTTAGGTTTGATTCTTACTCCTTAACCAAGAGAGATTTACAGGGCACAATGACTCATGCCTTGGGAGGGTGTGTACGAGGATTATCGGGCTGACATCCTTACTGTGTCCAGACATAGTCCTGTGTCTTCCTTCTTCTTCTGACCCCCTCCCCCTGCTCTCCTCCCCAGGTGTAAGGAGTTGAAGTACTCTAAGGAGCTTCCCCAGATATCCATCATATTTATCTTTGTGAATGAGGCCCTGTCAGTGATCCTGCGGTCAGTCCACAGCGCTGTGAACCACACGCCGACACACCTGCTGAAGGAGATCATCCTGGTGGATGACAACAGTGACGAAGGTATGGGGGCAGCCGACCAGCACAGGCTTCTTGGAGAGGAAGATGCAGACTCACAGTATCAGGAGGGGGAGATGCCACTTCATTCATTCCAACGTGAGCCTAGGCATCCTGGTCTCCTGTCCCTGGGAGATGTTCTAGAGGAAGAAGTCTAGGCAAATCCTGGTTCATTGTTCCATGAGTCCTCCAGGGCTCTAAGGATAAATGGCTAGTTATGTATCTAGGGTAATTTTCCCTCTTCCTTTAACTAAAGGAGATGACATCGAAGGGCTGAATGCACCCACACTCCCCGTCCCCAACCCCATCTCTGTTGTCCTTTTCTGAGAGGCAAAAGGAAAAGTGAAATTCTATCCTGTGACGGGAACTCTTGTCTTACCTTAGAATTCCCCTCTGGGCCACTATGCCCACAATGACTGCAGATGGAAATGACACTGCTTGCAGGCCAGTTGGAATTTAGGTATATTAGGAATAATGTCTCTGTTTAAAAATATAAAGCAAGTGAATACTGGATGGCAGTAGAAAAAATCCTTTGAGTTCCTTGGAGATGAAGGCCCATTGTCGAGGTGGGGAGGGAGTCGGTTTGGCTAACTGTGGCTTTGTATGGGCTCCTAGCCCACAAACTCCACCATGCTCACTGCAGGGAGAAACCCCCAGAAGCTGATGACAGGAAAGAAAGCCAGCCAGTGTGCATGCTTAAGGCCAAGGAGCAACTACAGGGTTAAGGGGCAGGCTAAACCCCTTGCTCTCAGCATGCTGAGTACAGAAGGTTTACCCTGTGCACAGCTGGTCAGGAGAGGTGAGGAGGTGGTAGGATGAACCACAGGTTCTGTTTGAAGCCTGAAATCCTCAGGAGCTCCAGGATGAACTTAGCATGTTCCATTGGCTCCAGAGCTGAAGACCCCTGTCCCTTCTGAACCAGCATCACAGTTACCAGTGAAAAGCCTGTGTGCCTGGACTCGGCCATATGCCACTCAGGGCACTGCCCTCTCCAGGCCTCCAGGTTGGGAGAACAGACGGGTCACTTGCCGAATTTTTCACATTCCTATTTTTCTCCCTTGACCTCTGGTCATTTAGTTATCTATAGATTCTTCTAAAATTATCATTGAGAGTCTTGTGAGAAGGAGGTTTCTTCAGTTCTCTAAGTCTTCTGGCAAAGTCTCTGTCCCCGACTGGTTCACAGCACCCCTCTCTGCAGCCCATTGCAGACCTCTTGCAACAGCAGCACTTTCAGACCCCTGCAGGGAGAGTCTCTGCTGCTACACACCACCCCTCATTTGCTGGCTAAGTCCCACTCATTCCCCAGATATCCCATGCATGTTGTATCCTCGAAGCCTCTGCTGACCCAGGCTCAGTGCTGTCTCAGCACCCTGTACCCCACTGTAGCATGCGGTACCACCACCACTTGCACATTGACACTCAGGTCTGGGCAACACTTTGCTCCTCAGGGCCTGGCTGGTAGCTGACCCTTGGGAAAGGGGCTAGTGCCAGAATGGCTGGAGGTGCCGCTCAGAAGAGCTGGCAAACCCAGAAAAGAAAGGGAACTGCAAATGCTGGACTGAACTGGTGTGGGGACTCGCTGCTGGTGGGGCTTCCTCTCCCAAGAAAATCTCTGCCAAGCCCAGCCAGAGAGGAAGGAATGGTCAGCCAAGCCAGCCTCAAGCAGAACACACACTTCTGAGAACAGGGGCCTTAGCTTGGGTTTCCCCCCACAGACAGACCCTGAGACAGAGACTTGAGTGCATTGGTTTATTTGGGAAGTGGAGAGGAGAGGGAACCTAGGACTGAGAAGGGAAGGCACCCCTCAAAAGAGGTGTCATACAGATTGCTACTTTGGGTGACAGGAGCCTCATCCCAAGGGGACTCTGGTAGCCAATGTAAAACCCACTCCTCAGAGTTGGCCTGCTCAAGGGCTGAGGGCACCTGGGTGTTTGTACACCTTTAACATCAGATGCTTTCACGTGGGAACTTTCTGGAGCCCCACCCTGGAGGATGTTCAGCTTCAGGAGGTCGGGTGGGGCAGAGGGATTTGCATTTATCACAAGCTCCTGGATGATTCTCCTGGAGAAGGGACCACACTTTGAGAACCACTGAGTTAAGTACCATTTCAGTGGTTTGCCCTTCAGGTTTAATGAAATGTTGAGTGGGTGAGGAAAAGCAGGAAGAGGAATTTGGTGCATTCTCACCATAAAGTTAATTCTCATTCATCCTTTCCTGTACCCCAAACATCTAGGGGACCAGCAGGGGGCTATATTAATGCTATTCCTCTCTTTTCTTTCTCCAGCTCTAGCTTCTCTATTTTTTTTCCAAGCCAGAAGTGCCTTCTTTTTAATGGGAAGAGAATTTAACATTTTTTTCTTTATTGAGATTTTCCTTGTGATGAGTATTATTGAGTTTTGTAAATGTTTTGTATATACTTGAAAAGACCCGCACACTGTAATCATGGAAGTAAATTCCTGCCAGACATCAATTATGTGTACTTAGATAGACTGAGTTTATCTTCTTAAGTCTTTGTGATAATGGTGTTTTAACATTACCTTATACAATGACTGTTCCTCTCCATAATCCTAATAATGTTTGATTTATATATCTCTTCAGTTTCTTTGGCAACATAGATTTGTATCTGCATGGCTTCATTAGTAGTGGTGGTTGTTACCATTATGTAATGCTCCTTTTATCTTCAAAAAAATACCTTTTTTTCTTGCCTTGCATTTACTTTGTCTAGCATTAATATTTTTATCCTTGCTTACCTTCTGTTTTGAGTTGTTAAAACATTTTTTCCCCAGCCTTACCATTTTTCTAATCTTAAAAGCAATGCATATTGTGTGTAGGAAAATTTAAATGTATCTAAAAGTACATATTGGCAAAAAACAAATATTGTGAGACTAGCCAGAGGCAACATGTTCTCACCCTCTTTTAATGCACATTTTACCTAGTTATGATCCTATAGTGAAAAGAAGTTAATGTTCTCATGTTCCTTCTGAACTGTGAAGCATGACATTTCCCTTTGTATTAAAAAAGCTCTGGGAAAAGCAGTTTAATGAGGGTGGAATGGTGCCTTCTCAGGCTGGTCAAGACTGGCACAGGCGGGAACCATAGCCCTTCCCACTTCCATATGTTATCTCATTCATTTGAGATAAAAGGCCTTTTCAGAAAAGAAGAAAAAGATTGCTTCAGGGAATGTGCGAATGAAGCCAGAAGACTGGATCTGTGTGTACAGGCAAGTCAGGATCTTTCCCTTATTGGTTTTTTAAAAAAAGTAATTTGTTTTATTAAACTTGAATATTGACATTGGACGACATTAAGCCCAAGTAAGACATGATTCTTTGTACTCTTCTACATTAAACTGAAATCACTCAGGCAAAACTTGCCAGTGATCACTGCTTACCGAATCCAGTGGGCACCTCCCTGCTTCAGTCTGGCCACGTTGGATTTTATTGGCAGCTCCCTTCCTGGCATTCTTCTCTTCCTGAGGCCTTGCACTACTCTCTCTGTTCTGATTCTCCTCTCGCCTTCCTCCTCCTTAGCTCCCTGCTTCCATTGGGATCTCAGCACCCATGATCCTCACCACTGGGACACTGGGTAGTTCCTCCACTGCGTATGTTCTGATGGTCCTCCAATCCCTTACTCCAGCCCAGAGCAACCCAGCCTTTCCTCTGAGCTCCCTACCCATGTGCCCCATCTGTGGATGCTCTGGGCCCCTCTGAAACCACAAGCTCAGCTGGTCCAGTGACTGACTTACCATTTTACTCTCAGTGTCAGAATACTTTTTTTTGTCATTTATTTCCTGTCTCAGTGAAGAGCTTCACCCTCTCAAGTATCTCATCTTCAAAGATTGGAAGTCTTTTCATGCTCTTCCTCTTCCCTTGCCCAGCAGCACCAGGTTAGTTACTTTTTTATAGTCCAAGTTTAATAAAAAAATTAATACACTTAATTTTTTAGAGCAATTTTAGGTTCATAGCTGACAGTTAGTTACTCTTGAGTGTGGTCCTACTTGGCCATATCCCAGGCCATTGGTCTTTTTGTTTAGGCCCTTGGCATTTTTTGCCTTGAAATTTGTTTGAGGATTTAAGAGTACATGGAATTATATGGATTGTTATTCTTGAAACACTCATAGCTTTTGTTTATTTTCCTTTATTTTAGTTAAGATATAGTTCACATAACATAAAATGCACCATTTTAAAGTGCACAGTTCAGTGGCTTTCAGTATATTCAAAATGTTTTGTAACTATTGTCACTATCTAATTCCAGAATATTTTCCCAAAAGAAACCCTGAATCTTCTAGCAGTCTCTCTCAGTTGCTAGAGCAACCATGAAAGTATTGTCTGTCTCTATGCATTTGCCTATTCTGGACCTTTAATATAAACAAAGTCCACAATATGTGGCCTTCTGTGTATGGCTTCTTTCATTTAACATAATGTTTTCTATGTTAATCCATGTTGCATATATGAGTACTTCATTCTTTTTATGGTTAAATCTTATGTTGTTGTATGGATATCACACATCTTATTCATTCAGCAGTTGATAGATATTTGGGTTGTTCCCAGTTTTGGGCTATTAGGAATAATACTGCTATGGATATTCATATACACGTTCTTATGTGGACACATATATTTCAGTTCTCTTAGAAATGTACCTAGGCTTGAAATTGCTGGACCATATGATAATTCTATGGTTAATTTTCTGAATCACAACCAGACTCTTTTTATAGCACCTGAATCATTTTACATTCCTACCAGTAATGTATGAAGGTTTCAATTTCTCTGCATTCTCAACAACATTTGTTTTCCTTCTTAAGTCATAGCCAACTTAATGGGTGGTATCTTGTGGATTTATTTGCCTTTCCCTGGCAAGTAATTATTTTAAGCACCTTTTTATGTGCTTATTTGCTATTAGTCTGTCTTATTTGGAGAAGTGTCTTTTCAAATCCTTTGCCCATTTTGAAAATGACTTATTTGTCTTTTTATTTTTGAGTTGTAATTGTTCTTTATATGTTCTGGGTATGT